AGAAGTCAAGTTATTGCTGAGTGAAAGATTACTTTTCCATTGCCAAAGATGCTAAAAAGCTAAAATGAAGAACTAAGAAATAAGTCTGCCAATTAAGAAAACAACCATGTGGCTGCGCTTCTCATTTTTCCAAATGAAAGCAGCTGGAGTTTCAGAGCTTGCTGAGCAGTAGCTGGGGGGTGGCTGGCTCTGGGCAGTCTAGGCACCCCTTGTTCTAAAGAAGTCTCTTGTTCTGGTGGGCCCTACCTATTCCTGACCAAAAATTATGACTGTTTCAGATAGTTTTTGCCATCTTACATCATCGAGTTTCATAAAAGATTGAATCATTACATAAAAATCTAAATCATCCCTCAACAGTCTGTGTATTAAGTTTCTGTACATGGTTTTCTAGTTTTCTCTTCTCCTCTTTCTTTCATTTTTCCTGTGTCTGAAACACTGGTAGTGGGGAGAAGGGAGACAAAGGAAGTTGAACAACTGAAAATATCAAGAACCTAAGTACATTTTTAATGTAAAATTCCCAAAGAGTGATAAGGGAAACTTTTCATATGACACTAATTTTGGTAACAGCCATCTTTCAATGGAGGGAAATAACTAAAAACATGTTGACTATTCTTCATTCCACTTTTGAACCCAACATGGATGTGATGTCTCAATGAGATGTTACAAAGCTACGTCGCGCACAGACAGCTCCATTTGGCTCCCATTTTTGCAAAACTTTTCCAGTAACTTCACTAGTAATGAATGAAAATATTAAATTGTGTTGTGAGCACTTCAGAAATCTTTTCATAAGGATTTCTGGTAGTTATCCTTGTTGTTTAGGAGTCATGAAAAAATAGCGTGAAAGAAATGAACAGAAATAGGGGAATAAGGAGCTTCTCTCCAGTAACGATCTACAAGAAGGATCCAAGGAGCCATTCTTCCACTTCTATGGAATGGGAGGGAATGAACTGCCAGAGCCAATGGATGAGTACAAAAAAACAGCTAGCATAATCAACTCAAGGAGAACGGACACTAGCAGTGTGTTAAATTTAATGCATCATCCTGCTTACACAACAGGTATTCCAGGTTTGTCATTTCAAATTACTTTTTCTGCGTACATACACATGCCCTGAAAATGCTCATGGCATGGCTCAAGGCACTGGCTCGTGATTTCCCAAGAATGGAAGGCTTTTTTGAGAATGAAATCTTGCGTAGGAATTAGAGATGAATCTTCTCATAAATTTCTTTGTATCAGTACAGTAACCGTTGATTATTATGGTAGACAACACGACATTTTACAGTCGAGGCTGCATCAGCTCAACATCCTGGACTGCAGACTTCTGCATAGAGCTAAACAATTAGAATTGTACTTGTACTGAGAAAAGCTGCAGCTTCAAAGTCATCACCTTAAAGCATCTGCATGTGTTACTGACGTGATTTTCATCCAGAAATACCTATGGCTTCATTAGGAAGACAGAATTTTTATAGCTGTATAAAAATCAGTATTAGATTGCTACTTCTTTTGGCCACACAAGGCAAACGTCACTTCCTGCTCCCCTTCTGAAACTGTGACTACAGTGGGAACGCAGAAAAAAGCACAGACACAAGGTAGAAACTGTTTGTACAGTATTCATCCTTGCAAGCAAACGGGCACAGGGATGTATCAGGCCTTTCCTTTCACCTCTGGCCGGGAATACTGAGCGCTGGGGCATAGTCAGCGTCACAGCACAGCTGAGAGAAGAACAAAGGGGAAGCAGGGGAAAAAATGTGTCTGCATCACAGCTCGTTTGGAGGTCTGCAGCTCAGCAGTGCTGATGCTTGCAGCCTGTAATTTAGGGCATAACATAGCCATAATTTAACTGCCAGCGAGTAACTCTAAATAGCTTAAGCTCAATTCAAGTTGCAAGCAGAGAGGTGCCTGAGTCATTCATAGGCAATCAGTACAAAACATACACACTTTTTCTGTGTGATATGTACAAAGTAGAAGTCAGCAAATAAGACATTTTGACAGCTCAATTTTCACTTTCTTCCAAGGTTCTGCACCCCATCCTCTTTGTCAGCTTGGAAAATTTCACCCAAACTCCCTACAGTCTGTTTATTTACACAGCTTTAGCACTGTGCCTGAGCCCCAACCAGGACTCTGCTGGGCATCATAATCGTCTTAATTGCTTCAACAGCTACTTCTGTTAACTCAGAGCAGTGTAACATCTGTTCTTTGTGACAGCACTATGTGGTTGATTTATTTTCAATTTATCTTTTGCTGTATGTCCCAAAGCTTTCTCTGTGTGACTCTGCTTGCCTACCCAGTATTCTCTAATCGATAATCATAGTCCCACAGTTTATTTTTTCTTCCTAGAAGGATCACTTCACATTTCCCTTTACAGAATTTCCTTTTATTGATTTCTGCTCATTTTTCCACGCCAAATATCATGTTGCATTAGCTCTGCGGTGCACTGAGCTATGAGCTGGGAAACTATGAGTTCAAGATCCAACTTCTTCATTGACAGCTTTAACTATTCTTGCATCCTGCCTATCTTCATTGTTATGGAAACAGTTCGACCCTAGGTTTCCGTGGAGCAGACGATTTCCTTCTCTAACATTCATTAATATTAACAAAACCTCATACAGTCACTACTGTAATTTTAAAGACTGCTGAGAGATTTCTCTCCTGGTTACAGACTGTATGCACCAAAGTACGCACCCACACAAGTCACCCGTAAGATAACCTCTAATACAATCAGGCACAACCTTTCACCGGTCCCGAAAGTATGCATCAGACATATATTTCTCCCCACATTTATTGCTCCACAGCCCCTTTATCTCTCAGCTTGGATGTCTTTCTGAGTACCCTGCGGGGAAACAGGCCCTGGTTCTCATGGGAGACTTCAACCACCCTGACATCTGTTGGCAAGGCAGCACAGCTAGGCACAAACAGTCAAAGAGGCTCCTGCAGAGGATTGATGATAATTTCTTGACCCAGGTGGTGGAGACGCCAACGAGGAGAGGTGCAATGCTAGACCTTGTACTAACAAACAAAGAAGGTCTAGTTGGAGATGTGAAGGTTGGGGGCAGCCTTGGCTGCAGTGACCATGAGATGGTGGAGTTCAGGATCCTACGAGGAGGGAGCAGGGCAATGAGTAGGATTGCAACGCTGGACTTTAGGAGAGCTGACTGTGGCCTCTTCAGGGACCTACTTGGAGGAATCTCATGGGGTAGGGCCCTAGAAGGAAGGGGGGTCCAAGAAAGCT